CCTTAATACAGGTTTAGCTGATTTCAGTTTCTGCCTGTAGGTCAGTATAAGATGAACCAAACAGTGATCAGAGAATCCTAAAGCTGCCCGTGGAACAGAGTGAAAATTGTCATGTCGCTGCACTTAAAGGCACAATATGTACGATTTTGTTTATTAAAATATCCAAAAACCACTAGAACAGTGTTATATATTTTGCTGACTTGTGTACTTACATTATCCCAAATGGTTTTGTTTTGTAGAAAACATGGAAACACCAAAGACGCTTTAATATGTTGTGCGTTTTAATAGAGCGGTGACGACCGCACAGAGTAGCATTATAACAGAACTTTCAAATGGATCAAGTATGATAAAACAGCGCTGCTTTTTTTTCCCTGCATACGCACGACCGGAAGGAGAGGAAGGGGTTGACTGTGGCATAATAAAAACTCCGCTGCTCTCGTTCAGCGGCCTCGTTTCGCTTCGACGGCTTTCAGCCTCACCCTGCTTCATTCTACTATGTTAATAAATCATTAGCTCATCCATGAACATGATTTCAGCCCGAGTCCCGTCAGATTGCATCGGCTGTGGGGATAAAGATGACAACTCCCATGATTCCACACTCTGTCACGGCGTCATCAAACTACGCCTTTGTTTCTTTGTTTATTTTGAATACGTGCCCTCTAGCGGCGAAAATTACATATTGTGCCTGTAACTGCCATCCAGTTATTGCAACAATTGTTGGTTTTATCTCTGATACGATTTTTCATTGCAGAACTACAAACATAGTGAATCAAACTTTGCCTTTGCCTCTTTGTTTATTTTGAATACGTGCCCTCTAGCGGCGAAAATTACATATTGTGCCTGTAACTGCCATCCAGTTATTGCAACAATTGTTGGTTTTATCTCTGATACGATTTTTCATTGCAGAACTACAAACATAGTGAATGTGTATAAGAATGTCATTGTGTCATTAGCTTTAAGATTTAAAAAGGTTGTGAATGCAAAATTGTTCAATGAGAATAGGTGAAACATTTTGGACTTCCTTCAACTAAAATGATTTTGCTTTGGTGACCATATCCCTTGAAAATGAAATCTGTTGTAATTTACTCACACTTACGTTCTTCTAAACGTGTATGACTTTTATTTTGGGAACACAAAAGAAGATATTTCATTATTCTCTCTTATTTTGTCCATTTAATAAAAGTCTCAACATTTTGACAAGCAAGCACATTTTGAGATTGTGCTTAGAGCAAGAACTATTTGAAGTGTACTGAATCTTCAAGATGATGGGATCCAGCTACTCTTAATACTGCGATGATGGCGTGGGATGCAGTGTCACTTGCTGGTCACAAATTGTAAAAAAAAAATAATAATCTAAATATCAGACTCATTTAATGGGCTAAAACTAGTTTTGGTAGGTAGTGATACATTTTTACAGTTTTTTTTTTTGTTTTAATTTGAAGATTAATTTTCAATAGGATCTTAATCTTGTTCTTTTCTTTTATATAAATTAAAAGAAGTGTTTTAATTCAGTCAGCCACTTCCTTATACTCTATAAATGATGGTTTAAAATATAGTTTGCATATTATTATTATCTCAGTTAATGATTTTGGTTTAAGTAGAATTACATACTCTTGTGAAATCAGAATCAGAAATACTTTATTAATCCCCGGAGGGAAATTAGGTTAATTGCCGCAGCTCCAAAACACCAAGATAAAAATACAAATAGAAATCTATATACAAGAAATAAAAATATAACTTCTAATATTTGAATAACTATACAAGTAAAAATATAATATTGCAGAATAAAATACGTTATATACTGAGGAATTATATAGTCTGATAGACGCAGGTAAAAAAGATTTCCTGTGTCGCTCTTTGGAGCACCTAGGTTGAATAAGTCTTTGACTGAACGTACTCCTGTATCTACCCAGGACATTATGAAGTGGGGGAGAGGTGTTGTCTAAGATGGCCAGAAGCTTAGACAACGTCCTACTTTCTGACACTACAGTCAAGAAAGTCCAGCTCAACCCCCACAACAGAAGCAGCCTTACGGATAAGTTTGTTCAGTCTATTGGCATCAGCTGCCTTCAGTCCCCAGCATACAACAGCAAAAAAGATAGCACTTGCTACCACAGACTCGTAGAACATCTTCATCAGCATCGTCCTACAGATGCTAAAGGTGTTAAAGATACTTCAGCCTCCTCAAAAATTAGAGGCGGCTCTGGCCCTTCTTGTAGATGGCTTCAGAGTTCTCAGTCCAGTCCAGTTTATTGTTCATGTGGACTCCCAGGTATTTTAAATCCTCTAAATATCCACTGAGACCCCATGAATGGAAACGGGTCATAGGTGCCATAGTCCTCTGCAGGTCGAGTTCCTTTGTTTTTGTCACATTGAGCTGTAGTCCTGTACTCAGTCTCCTCACCACCACTGATGCAACCAACTATAGCTGAGTCTTTAGAACATTTCTGAAGATGGCTGCAACCGAACATACTGTGGTCTGCCAGTCAGGTAGTTCACAATCCAGGACACGAGGGGAGGCATCCACCTGCATCGCTGTCAGCTTCTCACCCAGTAGAGCCGGACGAATAGTGTTAAAAGCACTGGAGAAGTCAAAAACATGACTCTCACAGTGCTTGCTGCCTTATCCAGGTAAGTATAAGCTCGATCCAGCATGTAGATGATAGCGTCCTCAACTCCCAGGTGGGGCTGGTAGGCAAACTGAAGAGGATCTGTAAAAGGCCTAACCATGGACCTGAGCTCCAGCACCAGTCTCTCCAAAATCTTCATAATACGGGATGATAATGCCACGGGCCTGTAAACCTTAGGGTCACTGGAACAAGACATTTTTGGAACAGGAATGATGCTAGAAGTCTTCCATAATAGAGGGACCTTCTGCAGTCTTAGGCTCATGCTGTAGACATGGTGAAGTACACCACAAAGCTGGGAGGCACAGGCTTTAAACACCCTGGGATGGATCTTATCTGGGGCTGCAGCCTTGCTAGAGTGGAGCTTCCTGAGCTGTCTTCTCACATGGTCAGGTGTAAATGGCACAGTAGAGGTTATAGAGGGAAAAGGTGCAGAGTTAGGTGAGAGAGGACAGGGTAAAATGCTCTGAAGACGAGGAGAGGGTGAAGAAGGTGAAGGTTGTAAGCAGGCAGGGGGTCTATGCGGAGGGGGAGGTTCTGTGAGTTGAGTGGCTAATGATGGTGGACAAACAGAGGAGTCCTGGGGAGGAAGGGCAAAAACATCATCAAATCTATTAAAAAACAGATTAAGTTCGCTGGCCCTTTCTACACCACCACCAACACCTACACTGTTGGACCATTGAAAACCCATGATGGTCCTCATACCACTCCAAACCTCTCTTAAATTGTTCTGCTGAAGCTTCCCCTCCAACGTCCTCCTATAAGTGTCTTTAGCCTCTTTTAAAGATTTTAAAGGTGCAATAGGTGATGTCTTCAGAAACATTTTTTGTTATGCTGGTTGAAATCATTAAGTTAAGTGGTCTAAATGTATTTGTCTGTATTTATATATTCTGTGGAAGGCGTAGGATCAAGAAATGTTCGTCCAATCAAAACGCTCGGTCCGAGCGTTTTAATATGCTTTCCTACCTGCCTGTCAACGTATGTATTTGCATACCTCTGCGCACCAGGTTCGCGCAGACAGGATACGTCATCAGCGT